ATCTTCTGTTGTTGTTTTTTTTTCCATCATAATCATAGCTTTTATCTTTGTCTGTCTTCTCATTCGTACATGTTTGTTCCTCTTTTCTTGTTGCTCCTCTTGTTCGGCCCATCATTCCCGGTGTTGTGTTTGTTGTTTGAAAAGTAAAATGTAGCCTAATGACTGCAATCTTTGCATCCCGAATCGGCGGTGCCGTGGAATGTAATGATCAGCTAGGTCTCCGCAGTCGAACTAAATGAATAATAATTTCGCAATGACATGAATGCCGCAAGAACATCTTTCTGCACGGCATAAGCCCGATACTTATATAATACACCTGTCCGTCTCACTTTCTCACACACTATACTACACCCTTCCTACCACTTGAATGCATAGCATACACACGTCCAAATAAAACCTATATATCCCGTATCCCATTCATTCATTCATCCTTCTCCACTACATGTATAGTCAGTACATTGAAGAAGAAAAAAAACAGATGAGAGAAAAAAGCAAAAATTTCGTTCCGTGATTGCAAAAATAATAACAACAATAATGATGATGTTTCGCCTTCAATCTTTTTTCCTTTGCCGACGACGACGACTACTACTTTCGGACCATAATTCCCTAATTGCCAGTTTGCTAAAGTAAATTGCGGGCAAATTGGAAAACCGCACGTTTCTTTCACAACTCTTTCAACTTTTCTTCTGCTCTATATAATAAATATTAACATCTACACTTTAATTCACATATTTATTTAACAACAAGAACAAAACGAATCCTCTAATTGTATCAATTTCAAAATCATCGAAATTAGTCATCAAAAAAAAACCTTGATTTTTCATTAAGAAAATCATTTATAATAGATTTACATACGCAATATAATTTATAATTGAATTGAATAAGAATTTAACCTTCGAATAAATTATTTTAACAGTTAAAATAAAATAAACTATCTTTTCATAATAATAATAATTACAGCAATTTTACAAGATAAATTATAAAATTTCTGTTTTTGTTATAAAGTTTTTCCTTTTTCATCAAATCAACAAATTATAAAATTTTGCTTATTTTTCACTAAATTTATAATTGAATTGCTTTTCGAAGGTTAAACTTATTATAATAATGCTAATAATAAAATTAAGTAGCTTTTTTACAATAATAACACTTGATTTTCGTAATTATGTTTTTGTTGTGATTCGATTGCTTGTATAATAAACATACAATTTCTTTCAATACTGAAATATTTGGAAAATATAGAAAGAAACAATATTCCCTATAAATAATTCATTTGAACTACTCAAATTAATTCAATTGACTTACGCAAGTTTTTCTTTTTAAATTACATAGAAAAGAGACGCCCAAATCAATTGGAATTATTGCGATTCCAAAGTACGAATTAAATCCACATAGAAATGTGACGATATAAAAGGAATTACAATAAAAACCAGCTCGAAATAGGGAAAATCCGCTAACCTTTAGAGAAATTAGAAGCACGGAATGAGCTTCTATTTTTAGAAATTCAGAAATAAAACAAAACAAAACAATGCGAAAACAAAAACATAATAGAATAGTTTTTTTTTATTTCCCCGGCGCATTAGTAATACCGATTTAGGATGAAACGATTGAAATTTCCATAAGCGATGTCTCATACAACCTATTACATAAACGCACATTTTTATATTGTAATTTATATATAAAAAGAAATATACAAATTACAAATTGTAGCACATAAAACATATAATAGAAAGAGAGAAAAAAAATTCATTGTTAATTGCGCATTATTTTGCATTTCAATTGATGGCAAAGTTCATTGAAACTTCACTTATTTATACTAATTTACAAATATCATTTGATTAACCTTAATAGCATAATATAAATAAGAGTTCATCTCGGTTCTTATTGCAAAAGTGACCATTACCATCAGCATCAATTCATAATATTATGATGGTTATTTGAAAATACTATTAATAAATATATTTTATGTTATTGAATTGATCGAAGTGTGTCGACGGTCATTTTTCACGTCTTCTGAGGACGCGCAATAAACAATGTCGACACGCGTTGTCATGGTAACTGTAAACAAGTTACACCATCTTGCCACTGAAAGTAATACGTTTTTCTTTTTAAAATAAATATATTCATATATTTGTTGTGTTTATGAATCAATTTGTGAATCAATTATGTGCAGAGTTTTTTTACGCGAATTTTCATTCGTTGCGTCAGTTGGAATTGCGAAGAGTTTTCTTCTACGAATTTTTCGGATTCGATTTTTCCGCACGTATTATTTCCGATACATTTATATACGCAATTAGCGGAAATAATGAACGCGGAGGAAAAACACACACAGACACACAGAGAAACGAGGTGAGTAAAATAAATGTACTTACGATTTGTTTTCCCGAACTTTCCGCGGATTTCCCCCGAGAGCGTTCCGCTCGAACCGCAACAAACAACACCGCTTTAATTTGTTTTGTTTTTTTAATAATGCCAACATTCATTTATATATTGCAGTGACACTAACCGAAAAAACAAAAAAATTAAATTCCCTGCTCTAGTCAATCCATCAAAATAACTTTAAAACTTTTTAAGTTTCACTTTTCACAGTTTTTCGTCAATTGCTCAAGTATTTCGTTAAATAATTACATCATCTTATACTTAAATTAAATCGAATCCACTCACAGCTTTCTGCTGTCATCCGTTAGTGTGGTATGAACTGTCAAAAATGTCGTTGCTGAAAATGCACAGCCTTCACGTTTTCCAGGATCAATTCCAGGATAATATTACATAATTTAAACAGAATCTCTGAAAATAATCTAACTTTAATATTTCGTTTGTGCAAATTTGTGGAGTTTTGTAATGAAAAACAGTTTTTGATTAAACAAAAATTTGTTTATTGTTAATTACCTAAACAAAGAAATAACGATTTTTATAATTTTCATATAATTCTCTCTATATATATACATATGTTGGTATTATGCAAATCTCAAGTAAATTAATTTTATGAATTCAACAACTTTTTCAAAGTTGAAAATTTATGGAAAATATTATATTTTTAACCAATTTTTGTAATTAAAACTTAGTTATTTTTAAATTGAATATCATCATCAAAAGTGTCTTTACTATTAAATTTCTCGATAATCACGAAGCTAATTAAAACAATTAATGTGCAAATTAAAGACAAAACAATTGACTTTCCAATGAGCCAGCTTACTACAATGTTTGTAGTTTCAACCGTTTTCTTGTAATAAGTTATCAAATTTGAGCAACATTTTTTTGGCGATTTCTCATATTTTTTTATATTTTTAATTATAAAACTTTTCTTATATTGACTATGTAACAAAAAATATTTCTTGTTAATAACGTAAACGAAGAAATGACGATTTTTCTAATTTTTTTATTATTATTTATATAATTTGTCAATATGAAAAATTGAAATTTGTTAAATTTATTACATATGTTGGTATTATGCATTTCCTGCAAAACTCAAGTAAATTAAATTTAAGAATTCAACAACTTTCAACAATTTTTGTTATTAAAACTAAGTTTTTTTTTATTAATTAATATTGAAATACACTTTTAATTTCTTTAAGTTTGAATATCATTATCAAAAGTGTCTTTACTTTTCTTTAAATTTCTCGATAATCACGCAAGCTAATTAAAACAATTAATATGCAAATTAAAGACAAAACAATTGACTTTCAAATGAGCCTACTACAATGTTTGTAGTTTCAACCGTTTTCTTGTTTTTTTTTTTTATTTTTAATTATAAAACTTTTCTTATATTGATTATGTAACAAAAAATATTTCTTGTTGATTACGTTAACGAAGAAATGACGATTTTTCTAATTTTTTTAATATTGTTTATATAATTTGTCAATATGAAAAATTTGAATCTGTTAAACTTTATTGCATAAGTTGGTATTATGAATTTTCTGAGATTTTCAAAAGGGCAGATGACATGTGTCACCATCCATCGCACACTTGACATTTCGAGGTGCGAGAGAACAAAAGAACGTTAATTGAAGATCCGCGTTAAATCGAAACGGCGTAAGCGATTTTTCGGAACGGACATGACATTTGCCGACGTGATTCAACTGTTGAAGCCATCATCGTTAGAACAAATCAAAGGTAATATTTGTCGGTAAACCGTCGGCACGACACCAAAAAAAAAAGGATTTTTTCCAAAACCGCAAACTGTACATTATACAAACAACGAACGTACGTTACATACAATATCATCATCATTTTTTTATTCCATTTATCACCCTTTACTTGTGCCTGTCTTTAAGTTATGAAACGTTTCGCGGAAATGAAAATTCGCCGCCAAGTTTTTGGGTTTTCGGAGTTACGGAGAATTCCGGTTACTTTTTTTTTTGGTAACACTCTTTCTCGATTTTTTTGGAATGTTTCGTGACGAGCCTATGGGATTAGTCATCCATCTGGATGTGTACTAATGTTGTGCAATTTGCGTTGGGAATTTCTCTCGAACCGATACAGCTGTAGTAGTAGCGAAGTGGCACACTTACGAATCCGATCAAGTTCACTGCTGCTGGCTGCCCGGATTCGTGGAAAGTTACAACGAATTCCGGCGAACGGATGCCCAAACCATGAATAATGACTGCATCTCTCAATTTTACATCATCATCTTATCTATTACATTCTAAAAAAACAACAAAGAACATACATTTCCTTATTTGTTTTGATGCAGTTCAATGTTTATTTACTTTGCAATTAATATTGCAACGCGAAGATTTTACATGTTTTTTTTGTGCGTATTTTAGTTGGCTTTGAACCAATTTCCGATCTATCCGAGTTTAGTGCAGTTAACCCAGTTTACGAATTGTAACTTACAAAGCTAATACTAAATCTCGCTTCGTTACATAACATTATACAAATTAATTCAATACTTTATTATTATTTTGTACATCTTTTAATTCAATATTGACATTATTAATGAACCTATACAATTTATACATAAATAACTTAAAATTAAACATATTATTTTTTGTTTGTTTCAGGAAAATTCTAGACGAAATCTTCATCTCAATTCATCCCATCCAAATTTTGACTGTAAGTATATACATTTTTTCAATCTATAATTTCCTCTTTTAATTACCAACGCAATTTAATTGCAACTATAAACTTTAGATGTCGTTGACGTCTCTCAATTAATCATCAACGGAAAAAAAATCGCTTCGATTTACTTCTTGAAATTCCTATAGAATAATGCAATTTTAATTATTACCTGCGTATGTGTTTGTGTGATTCATTATTCAAAAATCGATTATGCGTTGCTTTTTTAACTTTTGTTTTTTTTTTCTTCTTGTCACTCACCTTATTCTAATTACGTTCACAATATTCGAACAACGTGAAATAAATTACCGAACGCATATTTTACACGTTACTAACATACAGTTACACATAGTTTATGAATGAATGTCAGTTCAATTTTATTAAATCTATATTTCTACAACTTTTTTTGTGATCTAATTGATGTATTATGAATGCAAACATTTAAAAAAAAATTCAAATATGAATATGTTAGTGAAAATATTAATTAAATTTGTTTTTTTTTTCTAAATTAATATTGAAATGCACTTTTAATTTTTTTTAAGTTTGAATATCTTTATCAAAATTTAAGTGTTTTTAATTAATTGCTTGATAATCACGTAAGTTAATTAAAACAATTATAATGAAAATTAAAGATAAAACAATGGACTTTCTAATGAGCCTACTACGATATTTGTAGTTTCAGCCGTTTTCTTGTAGTAAGTTATCAAATTGAGCAACATCGATAACATTATACAATGTATTATACAACAAATGTATAGTTGCTATAATAGTTGATATAGTTGAAGAAGGGTGCAATTTCAGAAGACGATATTTGTAGTTTCAGCCGTTTTCTTGTAGTAAGTTATCAAATTTGAGCAACATCGATAACTTTATACAATGTATTATACAACAAATGTATAGTTGCTATAATAGTTGATATAGTTGAAGAAGGGTGCAATTTCAGAAGACGATATTTGTAGTTTCAGCCGTTTTCTTGTAGTAAGTTATCAAATTTGAGCAACATCGATAACTTTATACAATGTATTATACAACAAATGTATAGTTGCTATAATAATTGATATAGTTGAAGAAGAGTGCAATTTCAGAAGATGGAAGTGCGAGAATGAAAAGAGGATCGAAGAATGAGTAGAAAGAAAGGAATAAAGAAAAAGATGGTCATCAGTACAGCGAGGAATAAATCACGAGGCCGCTAAGTAGTGGAAGCTCATTAATATTTTAGGTTCATTTTTCCTGTCTCATTGTGATTAGCGACCACACGTAGAATGCTAACGTCCTTAGGCATCGCAGGCAGCCTAAAGGCACTCTTCAACGTCCACGTCCACTGCTGTGATCCGTCGCACGTTCCCATCACAACAATAAATTAGCGCCTCCATCCAGAAAGGGGATTCCTCTTGATCTTGTTGGAAGAAAAGAAGGATTTGTTGTTCGATTGAAAGGAGAAGCAGTGAATATGATCGAATTAATGGTATAAAAATCACGTATTCCGGCAATGGCAATGGATTACCAATTCTCGTTACGAAATGCGAGCCCGCGCGGACACCTGTCGTGATTCATGGATCCGAGCTGCATAATGTTAAGGTGCGAGTGTCTCTGTATACGTATACGTAATACGTGTATGTGTGAGTAAGTGTGAACGTATGGTCGAAGAAGGTGCGTAGATTTCTGTGGTTTCGTACGGAAAGTAAGTAGGTTGGCACACATATCCAAAGTCCGCGACGGAAATGCCGTTTGGAAACGTATAACCTCCGCATCCATCGCCGCTCTCTGCATACCCAGGCGTGTTTGGAGGAACAGACGACGTGAATCATTTTACTTTCGGACATGAATGAAAATCGAAACGGCGTGTGCGTATATAACACAAAAACAAAAACAAAACAAAACAAAAATTGATAATCGTGAAGAAATACGCGATGACGGTCTTCGACATCATCGTGTCATCCTTGCAGCAGCTTCCAAGAACTGCGGCGGATTATTGGAAACGATCTTTCGCGTCAAAGGAATTTCTGTTTCATAACGCCTTAACGTGGAGCGAGAGAAAGAACAGAACATAACAGAGAGAAAGAACAGCAACAGCAGCAGCAGCAGCAGCACACGAACCCAAGAAAGGAGGAAAGTCCATTCATATGAATTCATTCATAAAGGATAGAGTTTGTTGTCGCGCGACTCATTTAAATATGTTTAAATTCCCGAAAAATCGTATCAGAAAAGGAAAATTTGTATATTCATTTTTTCGATCGCATCATCAAAGTGATCTGCAATCTCTTCGACTTCATCCAATTCCCTTTCGCAATCTCTGCATATTTTTCTCTCTCCTTCAGGTTTCGCATTACCAACAATATTTAGATATGCAATACTTCCAATTCCGCTGCGTCCGACACTTTTCATCCCGACACACACACACATTAACAGAAGAGGTTCATTGCTCAGATTCGTAACCAAGGTTACCTTATTATGATCAGAGCTCAATGACACTCTCAGTCGTTTCTCCTTCTCTCTCTCTTTCTTCCGTATTGCCTTTTGTTTCTTCTTCTCAGTTTGTTTCGTTTACGTAACAATATTGGTCCAAAAGCAACGATCGTGTATTTGCATAAACTACGAGCGCACCGACAAATAAACATGAGAGCATCGAGGAATAAACAAATGCAATTGCAAATGTTCAACATTAATTCATAATTTTATTTAAGACTTTCTTGCTTCATCTAATTATTAATTGTGAATAACTTAAGAAAGTAATCATTATTAATTTTGGATGAAATGAAAAGAAAGTGTGAATAGAAACGGAAGAATATTGTTGTAACCATAGCAATATTAAATAAATCATCAATTTCAGCATTACGTATTGAATACTTGCAATTACATAATTCTGAAAACCATAGCAACATAACTACAATAATTCATAGCACTGTAGATATAAATTGATTGACTATGATAATTAAATAAATAATTAATATTTCCCATCACAAAAACACATATTTTTAGCATTTAAATGAGATGAGATTGGAATGCACAGTACACTAGATAAAAAATTAATTGTGAATAACTTAAGAAAGTAATCATTATTAATTTTGGATGAAATAAAAAAAAAATGTGAATAGAAACAGAAGAATATTGTTGTAACCATAGCAATATTAAATAAATCATTAATTTCAGCATTACGTATTGAATACTTGCAATTACATAATTCTGATAACCATAGCAACAAAACTACAATAATCCATGGCACTGTAGATATAAATTGATTAACTATGATAATTAAATAAATAATTAATATTTCCCATCACAAAAACACACATATTTTTAGCATTTAAATTGAATGAGATTGGAATGCACAGTAAACTAGATAAAAAATTAAGTAGGTCAGACACGCACGTCCAAAAAAAAACTGTCTACAGCTATTTCCAAAAAAAATGTAACAAAAAAGAGCAAAAGACCAGACGAGAGAGAATAGACTTTCATTGATAAAGCTGTAATTTATTCACGTCTCGGCTCGTTTATTTACTACGAGTTGTTGTTGTTGTTTTTTTTTTATCTTTTTTGGAATTCGTAGTGAACGTGCGTATCCAAATTTTGTTATGAATGAACGTATCGGAATTTACTATTTGTGGTGGTTTCTTTTGATTTCAGGAAATTGCGAACCGCGAACGTCGTTTCAATTAAATTTGATGACAATTAATTAACGTCGTGCGTAATTTTATAATCAATTACAAACCATTTCCGGTAAATTTGCAATAATTTACTTTAAAATTGAATTATTTTTTTGTTAATTAAACAATTAATTAATTTTTGTCAAATTCTAATGAAATATTTGATCAAAATTCGTTTTAAAATAACATTTGATAGTTTGGGAAACACTGATATGTACTAAATGTGCAAAAAAGTAGTCTTATTTCTATTTCAATTACTAAATTCTATGTAATAAAAGTTATAGTTTTTCATCGAGTATTAATAATAGCGATATATGAGAGCTATTACTAAATCAATGACACGCCTAGGGATCTATAAATAAAAGTATGAATTACAATTTCCTCTGAGAGAGCACGTTCATTGAAGAAAATCTATGAATATGACTCAAAAACGCGTTGGTGCTTAAGAGCAGAACAGAAAAATTAAAATAAAGAATAATACAAAAAAAAATAACGTAATAAAAATGAAATACTTTCATACTAGTATCACACACGGTGACTCAACGAATTCTTTAATAATTGCATTATCGAATTGGAATTCCATACAAAACAAAATAATTTACTTGCTAATTAAGAAAACTTATTTAATTTCTATACAGAAATTCATATTTTAATCGTTAGTAACATATGTTTATTCCTTAGCAACGAATGTTTTATTCCTTAGCAAAGAAATTGTTTTATTCCTTAGCAACGAATGTTTTATCCCTTAGCAACGAATGTTTTATTCATTAGCAACGAATTAGTAGTAAAAGTAGATTATTGAAAAAGATTCGATTCAATTGATTGTAATAATTTCTTAATTAACTGAGTTTGTTTATGCAGGAAGTTTTTGTATTACCTAACTTGCAATATTTCTGTGTGCATTTTTTTTATTGCACTTTTTCTGGGTTCGTCCTTTTTACCCGGAACTACGTCAACTCGAGATCCCTTCGTCTCCGTTCACCTGTGCCAATTAAAAGGTGTGCTATTGATAAATTCGTTTCCGGCCTTTATTTGCTATAAAAATCGGATTTCTTCGGAAACTAAACTTATATTTATATAACAATACACATGATCTATTTATATAAATAAACTCGATCTATTTATATAAAATAATCACTGTTTTTTTATATAATAAACGGAATTTGTGATTTATATTATATTTATTTATTTTTTTGTTGTTGTTTCGTTCGTACATGATTTTAGTATTTCGTCTGTTGTTGCAGGAGTCGCAGGAATCCGCTGACTTGTCCAATATTCACACTTCCCGGAAGGTAAGTCTTTAAACAATATTATCGTCCATGCCATCTGGGAATGCGGTAACCGAATTCCGATATAAAGTTTATATGTGCATTTTATGTACACTTATACTCGGATATGTATGAGTGTACGTATGTTCGAACACGTAAACACCCTACCATCATCTTTCATTGTTCGAAGCGCGCGCGGGGGCGATTATTCTTCGGACGAACAAAAGATATTAAAATTTATTTGTTTATCTCTTCTCTTTCCGTCCGCTTTCGAACCGCAAAATCGACACTTAACCGAATTGAAGAAAGGGGGGAAAAAGCATATTTATTTCTTTTCGTTTTTTTTTTTCGTTCGCTGTGGAAAGAATGTATCGGCGTTTTTTCCGAACCACCATAGAATTACCCACTCACTTGCCGTCATGTTTTCCAAAAGATTACGATTTTTCTGCAGAATTACCGTCACGATCATGGAAAATTCTTGATGAAGAGAGTGTGGTCTATGCTGAATGAATAAGTTTTGTATATGTATTTCAAGATTGCAAAACGAAATGAAAGAAACGGTAATCAAGTTTAGAAAAATCAAATCAACTTTGATAAAAACAAAATCAACTATAGTAGAACAAAATCAAGTTTCTCAAAAACAAAATCAACCAAGTCTTATTATTTTCATAGCAATTAAATGAATTTAATTGTAATATTTTCTTAAGGAATTGCGCGAATTTAAGTTTGTTTTTGGCAGCAATTAACTTTAGTAAAGTCAAGTTTAGTAAAACAAATGAACTTTATTAAAACAAAATTAACTTTAGTAAAAACAAAATCAACTTTAGCAAGAACAATATTAACTTTAGCAAGAACAATATTAATTTTAGCAAAAACAAATTCAATTTTAGCAAAATCAAATCAACTTTGGTAAAAAGAAAATCAACAATAGTAGAACAAAATCAAGTTTCCCAAAAACAAAATCAACTTTAGCAATATGAAATCAACTTTAACAAAATCAACCAAGTCTTATTATTATTTTCAAAGCAATTAAATTAATTTAAGTTTGTTTTTGGCAGAAATTAACTTTAGTAAAGTCAAGTTTAGTAAAAACAAATGAACTTTATTAAAACAAAATCAACTTTAGTAAAAATAAAATCAACTTCAGCAAGAACAATATTAACTTTAGCAAAAACAAATTCAACTTTAGTAAAAACAAAATCAACTTTAGAATAAATGAAATAAAATTTAATAGAAACAAAATCAACTTTAACAAAAACAAAATTAATCAAGTTTTATTATTTTCAAAGCAATTAAATGAATTTAATTGTAATATTTTCTTAAGGAATTTCGCGAATTTAAGTTTGTTTTTGGCAGCAATTAACTTTAGTAAAACAAAGTCAAGTTTAGTAAAACAAATGAACTTTATTAAAAGAAAAACAACTTTAGTAAAAACAAAATCAACTTTAGCAAGAACAATATTAACTTTAGCAAAAACAAATTCAACTTTGGCAAAAAAAAATCTTCTTTAGCAAGAACAAAATTAACTTGAGTAAAACAAAATCAACTTTAGAATAAATGAAATAAAGTTTAATAGAAACAAAATCAACTTTAACAAAAACAAAATCAACTTTAGTAAACAAACTCAACTTTAGCAAAAACAAATTCAACTTTAGAATAAATGAAATAAAGTTTAATAAAAACAAAAGCAGCTTTAACAAAAACATAATTAACTTTAGGAAAATGAAATAAACTTTAACAGAATAAAATCAAGTTTAATAAGAAAAAAAACAACTTTAGCAAATCAAAATAATTGAATTAAAAATAATCAGTTTATTATAATTATAAGATTTGATTAAAAATTTCACATTAATTCTATATCTATTTAATTATCTACCTAATTTTAATTAGATAGATAAGTAAAATACTATATTTTTCTTTATTTTGGTAAGATTCGAACCTGTTACCTTCATATCGGATATAATAATTATATAATTTGCGTTTATTTTTTTTCTTTATAAAGACAATTGAAAAGTTGTTGAATGATCCTGAACGCACGTTGCCTTTAATTTCTTAATTGTTCGCATCGGTACGTGCATGTCATTTTGGTGCATCGTTCGGAATTCGCAAAAAAAAAAAAGACAGTAATGCCGACCGTTCTTGGGTGCATAATTAATTCGCTAATTAAGTCGTTTACGGTAACTATGGTGCTGTTGCCACGGTTACCGAGTTTCACCTTAATTTACACGCTGCAGGACGATGAAGAGAGATGATTGTCGACGATAGGAGCAAACACACACACACTTCGAGTCCTCGGAGGCAATTTGTGCAAGTTTGTTGTGCTACAGCAGCAGCAGCAGCAACAGCAACCTCGTGTCCTTCCTTTTTCTTGTTTCATCTCTTATATTATATTTTTTTTGTTTCTGCTCGTTTTGCCGGTGTCGCCTCTGTTATCCTTCCTCTCCTTCCTTTGCCTCCATCCATCCTCTCTCTGTTTTCAGCTTTTATTGCGAGCGTTAATGGCGAGGAACGACACGTAATAAATATGCAAATATAACGAGAGCTTGCAAGGTGTATGTATGCTTGTATGTATGTGCATGCAAGAAATATCGAAGCGTGGATATAGAGAGAGAGTGAGTGTGAGTGTGAGCAGCGCGCGGTGGCTCGGAGAGGCCTTTCCCTTTCATTGCCATAATTTATCCGAGTGTGTCTCAATTCATGAATGAACTGAACTTCTTGTGAGCTGCTAACAGAGCCAAAGAGAGATTGTGTGTGTGTATGTATATGTGTGTGTGAGAGACAGAGAGAGAGAGTGATGAAGATGGAGAGATGATTGTGGAGGAGCGAGAGTGCGAGTCCGTTCTGAATCAATGGGTAAACATTGAGGGGGCGAAGAGCGGCGGACACCGTCGTCGCCTACGGCCTTCCAGGCGTTTCCGCTTGTGAACATTCGCAAATGCATGCATACCCGACCACATGCACAGACAGACACAGGTGAACCCTAATAATGAGTCAAGACAGGACGAGAACGCGAACTGTAAAGTCTGGGATGATGAGCGAGTGCGACGATGTATAATATTCCGCGGATCATGATGATGATGATGAATGCCGAAACCGCAGGAATGTCCCTTTTCGAAATAAACACTTAATTCGGAAATGTAAATGAGTCCGTCCGTCCGCAGTAGCCTTCAAAGAGTCCGGACTCGAACCGTTTCGACACCCGTTACCACCCCGAAAACTAAAAGAACACATACAAAAGAGACAAAAGTGAGGAGAAGAAGAAGAAGGATAAAAGGGACGATCTAGTAGAGTAGTAGGCATTTCCTTCGATCGTTTTGATGTTGTTGCGGTCGTGTTGGCCGTCGTTTTGCTTGCTTTTGTTGATGTAGCTTCTCGTGGTGATGTAGCTTCTTAAGTTGATGGTGGCGCGCACCGCCGCTCCTCACGTATATATGAGAACTATGTAGAGGAATGTGAACATGTTAATAAGAATGACTAGTCCCAAATTCTTATCTCCGTTCAATCTGTGTAAACATTATTCCCAAGGTTTTAACAACTACTCCACCAGTCCTACCCGACGTTATTTATGGGGGTCACTAGTCCGTCCGTCCAACCGCACAAAGTCTCTCCTCTTTCTTTCTCTCACTCTCTTTCTCCTCTCGCCAAGAAAATTATATCTTAAATTCAAAATGAAATATATATTCGTAATAAATGCGTCTCGTCCTTTTCATCCTCTCCTCTCTCTTTCTCTCTCTTACACATCCTTCATCCAAGACGCGTGTAAAACCGCCAGGATGATCTTTCCACCTCATCTCTTTCGCTCCACCTGAACCTTACTGTCCATCCAACGATATTGTCTCGCTTGATCATCATCACATATCATAATCATAAAGAAAAAAGAAACTTTAATGTTCATTACGTGTTACTATTTCGATCCCTCACCAACAACAAACAAACCTTTTTTTTTTATCTTACCAACATCATCATTCCTGACCACCGAAAACGTTTTTCCTCTTCCTCCCCCAAAACTTCTCTTCAGACCACCAAAAAAAAAAAATAAACACAGAAACATTTCTCTAATTGTCTTTACAACGTTCCATCCCTTAATAAACGCGTAATTTTCGGTTCTAATGAAGCAATTAAAAATGCTGTTAACCACAAAACAGTAACCACAGAACAGTTATTCAACGCAGACACTTTTTTTCACTTAAAATTTAAACGACATTCATTAAAGAATCCCAAAAAAATATATTGTTTATTCAATCAATTATTAATTATCTAATTGATTTCGATTTAATCTAATTAATCTATATAGATTTTCATAAATTTTGAAAGTACTCTTAACTAATCAATTTCGAATTTAATTACGAACTAAATTATGTTTTGAAAATTGTGTTTCTTTATCATTATGAGTATCAGGCAAATACTCTGATTCATGATTAGAATGAGTGGAAAAAAAAACAATAATATTTTCGTCTAGCGTGGAAATAGCGCGTAATCACAAAATCTATTTCCTCTCGAGACTCATTCAGCAGTTATGAATGAGTGCGTTAGTGTCAATAAACATTTCTAGAAACAATCACAGGTTTTCCCAGAAGAGAGACACACACTAAACAAATTTGGCACGGACCGCGTTGCGCAACATGACGACACGCAACCAACAAGATCAAGAACACACACACACACCATGATCATCATCTCGTAACATTCCACTCACAATACAAAACGGATCACCAATATTTGAAAGAAAAAAAGTGTGCACGTGTCATTTATAATTTACTTGCAATTACCATTACATAATTACCAAGAACATTAACTTAACGGTCAGCTAATAGATTTGAAGTAGAATGATTTATTCGGCTTGTAACTCGTTAAAAGTTTTAGTCCTGAAAAATAAGGAATTAGATTTTAACGGTGCGTCGTAAAATGTCCTCTTTTTTTTTTCTTCTAGGTAATTAATCCTTCCAAAATTTTTCGTGAGATTCCATAAATCTCACGATTTTATTGCGGAATAAATCGGGGCGAGAAAATGAATAACTTTTGGATGTTACTTTTTTTTTCGTGGAGACAAAACCATCAATTTGTATAA